GTGAGGGCCATGGAGGTGTTGGGCAGCAGTGCTTCATAGATGCAGTCTCTGGAAAGCTGGTCCTGTTTTCTTCTTTCAGAACTGAGAGCTCCTTAGAGTCAGAGGGGCTTAAAGAGCACGCCAGCAAGGCCACCTCCACCACCTTGAGGACACAGTCTCCTCAGAGGCCTCTAGCTGGGGCCGCAGGCCAAAGCCTAGCTGGGCGAAAAAGGGCCCTGTTCACTCCTTTGGATGTCAAACTGAGTTGTGGTGCTGCTGCCACCTCTGCGCCCCCTCCCCTTAATAGCAATCCTTTAAGGGAAAAGTGGCCAAAGCCTGCTAAAGGGCCCTGGTGCAGGAGTCTGAGGGAAGGTAAATCCAGGACTCAAAGTGGAGTCAGTTTGCCACCATCAGCCAAAGAGAGTAAATCTCAGTCAAGGTGTCTATTTGCACACGTGATTTTGCATATTCTTACTGCACTAGGTGTAGGTTCCCCTTTCAGGCCCTTCTGCTGGAAATATGGCAAGTATGTATTTCTTGGTGCCATCCTGCTCATTGTCTGGTAAGCGGCCTCAGTGACATCATGAGTTTAATGTAACCTGTCCTTTAGATCACTGGGGCAGATCACTGAGGCATTGGGTGAAGTCCAATTGAGCCAGTCGGGATAAAAACCATAGGACACAGGGCAAAGAAACACAGAAGAGGCAACAATTGGGGACAACTAGAGGAGAAGACACAGGTGACCAGTGCATTTACACGGATAGTCCCAGAAACTTGCTCTCCATCTTGTGTGAGGACTGAGCTGAGTCCCTGGCAAGACAACAGTGACTACTGACCTCTCCTTCCCTAGATGGCCTTGGTTGGGCACATTTCAGTCTCTGGTTGTGGTTGCAAAACGGTTTGGAATTCTGCAGGTCTTCTTTGAGTTCTTCAGGTCTGGAGCTTTCTTAAGGACTGGTCAATAGATGGGGCAGACACAGCAGCAACAGCAAGGGCAAGGGGTGCAGTAGAAGGGTGTGTTCCCCGTGGCCACCTCCCCCCCAGCATTTACACTCGAATTCGGCCTTGAGCTCGGTGGCCTCCCTGTCTAGGAGTGAGGCAGAATAGCACTGAGGGGTGTCTTCCCATTTGGGGTTGCCCCAAGCCACCTGCATGGTGAATCAGTGGCGGGGAAGGGGAGAAGGGAGCATTGGTATCTGGAATACCCTCCAGAAGCGGGACTTGATTCTGGTTCCTCTGTCTGCTAGAATGTGTGGAAGGTGATAAGCCTAGGTAATTCTCAGCATGGTAGCCTATCCCAGAGCTAATGGTCTGGGTTGAAGTATCAACAAAGACAGGCTCTTCCATCTCCACCAGCTCTCCATGTAGGCAATGATGGTGGGCAGCAAGTGCATGCAGGTGTACATGCATGCAGTCGTGCACGTACACATGCTGGATCTCCTCCCTCCCTTGCTCCTCTTCTGACTCCAGGACCCTAACCACAATTTCATCTTCCTCCTCATACTTATTTCCATCACCATCGTCATTCTTCCTCATCTCCTCCTCCTCCTTGTCTTCTTCCTCCTCTTCCTCCTCCTCCTCCTCCTCCTCATCTTCATCCTCATACTCATCTTCCTCCTCCTCATCTTCCTCATCCTCCATCTCTTCTTCCTCCTTCCTCATCTCCTCCTCCTCCTCCTCCACCTCCTCCTCCTCCTCCTCCTCCTCCTCCCTCAGCTCTTGTGAGAAAACGTTCATGTGCTTCCTCTGGTCCATCAGGTAAAGCCTGTGCCTGCCTGCCTCTTCACCCTCATCCTCACTGTAGCACTCCACGCCTTCATTTTCATCCTCATTAGGAACTTGAACAAAATGGTAGACACTATTTTGAATTCCAGTGAGTGGGGCTGCCTTGGAGGCACGCACTTTCTTTTCTATCTCCACACACTCAAGAATCAGCTCATCCAGATCTGCCATTTCAGTTGACCATAAGAGTTCCTTTCTGAAAAAAAATGACAAGCCTTTGAGGAATTGGTTTTGGAGGCGACAGTCATCCCAAGACAAGAATTGGGCCAAGAATTGAAAAGCATCTGCATAGCTGCCCAGGGTACAGTCTCCCTGTTTGAGCTTACGGATGGCCTTTTTAGCCACGCGTGAGGGGATGGGGCCACAGAATTCCTTACGGATTTCATCCAGGAAGCGCGGGAAATTGGCATGCAAGGAGCTTCCTTCCTGAGTGACTGAGATAGCCCAGTCTCTCGCTTCCCCTGTGAAAAAAGAAATCAGAAAGGCCACCCGTTCCGCGCCCCCAGGGAAGTGATCCT